TAAGGTTTCTTACGACATTTCTGTTTCCATTTCTGGGGATAGACTGGCCACTAATATCCATTACAAACCCACCGACTCCCACAGCTACCTGGACTGTACATCCTCACACCCCACTTCCTGTAAAGACTCCATCCCATTCTCTCAGTTCCTCTGTCGCATACGTTCAGATGAGGCCAACTTCGACAAGGGAGCCTCTGAAATGTCCACCTTCTTCCTCAACTGAGGATTCCCCAGCTCCGTTGTCGACAGGGTCCTCAACCAGGTCCGACCCATCTCCTGCACTTCTGCCCTCACCCCTTCTCTTCCCTCCCGCAACAGCGATAGGGATCCCCTTATCCTCATCTATCATCCCATCAGCATTCACATCCAGAAGATCATCAGACGCCATTTCCGCCACCTCCAGCAAGATAACACCACCAGACACATATTCCCCTCCCATCCCTTGTCCACCTTCCGCAGGGACCGTTCCCTCCGGGACACCCTGGTCCACACTTCCTTCACCCCAACACCTCCCCACCCTCCCATAGCCCTACGGCACCTTCCCCTGTAACCGGCGAAGGTGCAACACCTGCCCATTTACCTCCTCCCTCCCCAGTATCCAAGGGCCCAAACATACCTTCCAGGTGAAGCAACACTTCACCTGCACTTCCAAGAATCTAGTCTACTGCATTCGCTGCTCACAATGTGGTCTCCTCTACAATGGGGAAACGAAGTGTAGACTTGGCGACCGTTTCGCAGAACATCTACGTTCTGCTTGCAAAAAAGACCCTGAACTACCTGTTGCCTGCCACTTCAATGCACCACCCTGCTCCCTGACCAACATCTCTGTATCCAGCTTGCTGCAGTGTTCCAGTGAAGCCCAACGCAACCTGGAGGAACAACACCTCATTTTCCGCTTGGGGACCCTACAGCCTTCCGGACTCCATATTGAGTTCAATAATTTTAGGGCCTAAACTCTCCCATGTCCCAGCCCCCCACCCCACACACCAGGCCTTGTTACCACATAGCCTGCCACTACACACCCCCTGTTGTTAGTCACTAACAGTCCCCACTAACAACTATTCACCCTCCCAGCCTGATCGTTAGCAACTCCTTTGTCTGTCCAACTGTCTTTCTCTCTCTTTGGGCTCTATCCTATCGTTCACTCCCTACCCCACCCACCTCCCTATTTTCTGCATATAAACTGACGTTTTCCCAGCCACTATCAGTTCTGAGGAAGGGTCACCGGACCCAAAACGTTAACTCTGTTTTCTCCTCCACAGATGCTGCCAGACCTGCTGAGCTTTTCCAGCAGCTTTGTTTTTGTTCTATGATGTCAACTTTGTTGCAGCATGACTTGTCGATCTTGACCTTGAAGGAATGTGTTTATTACTTAAGTATTTAATCAATGTTGAATTCAAAAAACTTTTTTTTTCCTCTCAGCATGTTGATTATTAATCACATACTAATCACAAACTCAGTCTTGCCAGCATTTATCTCAGTTTGTGCTACACCAAACAAGGAAAGTAAATTGGTCTGTTTATAGAGACCTCTAGTTTTTGCGAGGTTGAGTGACAAGCAGACGTCTGGAGATGGCATGACATGAGTTAATCTAATCAAAATTAACATCATGTTGGCAACTGAATGTCTTAACATTTCAAGAAAGAGGACCCAGATTTTGCAGACAGCATAGCCATTGGAATGCGCCACATTGAGTGAGCACCTGCATAATCATGTAGGAATCCAGAAATTCCTGTCATTGGTTCTACACTTTGCGGTTGAGCAGTATTTCTGGCAATCAGTGAACATGATTTAAATTGACCAGAACCTCCCTTCCTACTTCCTGAGCCAGGATGCTTGGGTTCAAGTCCCACCTGCTCCAGCGGTGTGTATTAATATCCCTGAAAAGGTTAGTTCGAAAATATGTTGACCAAAACCTTCATGCTTATGCTTTTAGGCTTAATTTAAAAACCCTCGGAGAAAAAACATTTTTGTAGGAGAGGTAGACAGGATTTTAACTGTGTCCAAACTTCATATTGCCAGGAAACCCCTTCATTAGCCTGAAAAGCCAATTGTGTATTTGTGGAATGTCAATATTCTCCATAAATTCAAATTTTTATAAAGAATACAGGCAGTCCTTGGGTTGTGAACAGGTTGTGTTCGCAAGTTGATTTGTATGCAAGTTGGAACACGCTGCAGGACAATACAAAGACGGCATTTGTAAGGACAGAAAATATTTGCATGTCTGATCTTTAAAATTACACCGTGTATGAGATTGTAGTGAAAGTTCGGACATTCAGAAGCCAAACAGCCATAAATTGGGGGCCCCCTGTGCAGTTTTTCTGAGGTTATCTTCATTTTCATTTTCACTTCAATGCAATAACAATTTTCATTATCTGAAAATTTAAATTGACGGAAGGATATTAATGTGTGCCTAACTTACTGCTTTGCTGTGTTTGAATACCTGATGTGATTAGCTGCTTATCTGCTTGCTGACATCAACATTGCTGCATACCAAATTATCATCTTAAGTTGGTACGAGATTTAAACTACAAGTGGGACGGTAAAACCACTTCCGAGATCTTTAAGGTCAACAGTAAGCCTCCTTGCTTCACTGCTGATTGAAAATTCTAGGACATCATCTCCAAGCAATTTTGAACTGATGATTCATCTGCGATTTGGCAAATACTGAATTCACATCTTCAGTGGTTTTGGCATTTACATTTCTGAAATTTGAACTGGATGGTGGATATTTTATAATAAAACATTTAAAATAGTAATAGAGTACCCTAATACACACCATCTCTACAAGTTCACCAGTTCACACAAGTTTTAAAATAACTCTGGCAGTCCATGATTAGTTATTGAATGACTATGTGAATAATATATTGGTAAACCAATCATGGTGTTTAGATGCTTCATTGGTTGAATTTGAGATTTGAAAACAGGGGAGTTGAGATAGAGAAATGGATTAACACTTACACAAGATGGCTTCAAAGACCAGAAACCATGTGTCAAATACTCAGTTCAAAAAAAAATTCCGTATTTTTCAGTGTTGAAAACCAAGATTGTTGATTTGTGTCTCCATTTTTGTTTATTCCCCAACATAATATCACGTGCCCGTGTCTAATCATGGCTTATATTTTCTTCATTTATGGACTTGGCAAAATCTGTGTTCCTTCATTTGTAAATACCTCTTTTTTTCCTTAAAATATCATGTTTTCAATGCCCTTGGGATGGTCAGAACAAAACTCCAAATACCATTTTGGCATGAGAGGTTTCTTCCTTTCTAAGTGAAAATGTAATTGGATGAAGCATTATTTGTGTCCTCCACTGTCTCTCTGCTTGTAAAATGACAATGTACAATATGAACAGCATGAAATATTAGCTTCATCATGTAATTTGAACATAATTTGGTGGAAATGTGCATAAGTTGTAGCAAGTTCTGCAGCTAATTATGGGACCATGGGTTAATTGCTTTTAGTCACTTATTATTTCACATTTTGATTTTGTGGCCATTTTTAGCTTCTAATTCAGATTAATTAAAAGTGTGTTTTTAAAAAATGTGACCATAACTATTTTTGGAATTTTGACCAGGTGCAGAAATGGCTGAGAGCACGCTTAAGGATGATGGAGAGACCAATATTACCAGAGAAGACATGAGTAATTTGGAGACATGTGTTAATACAGAGGATGGGATGATTTCAGGTAGCTCAGACAGTGAAGAGAGTGCGGCTAGCAGTGGTACAGCTGTACAAAAAATGAAAAGCAGTGTGATACAGATACAGGTAAGATTGAGCAATCAGTCTGAATGCTTTCTGAGGCTGCTAGTCCCTGAAAAAAGTTGACTTTCTTAAAGAACTGCAAATGTATTCCTTAATGTTAGTATGACATTATCTTATTCCCTATTACTGAACGGACTAATTTAGATTAAAATTTCACAGCTTGTGAATCCCCAAGGGTACATTAATTACAACCAAGATAGAATTTTCAGGTGATCTTTGCTAAAATCTTGTGGTGCAGTTGTACTGTTCCTACCTCTGGGCCAGGCAGCCTGTGTTCAAGCCCCATCTGCTCCAGCGGTGTGAAATAACAATTCTGAATAGATCGAAACTATTTGTAGAAAAATTGTTAACAGTTCTTTATTCACGTGTTGTCCAAATCTGTCCCATGTTTTTCAGGAGTTTTACTTTTGAATCTTTTCAGTACATTTTCTGCTCCTGTGACAGTGCTAAGAAGGGCTTATTTAAGTCACAAATTATGTCCTTGTAAATGATGCTCCCTGACCCCTCTGCAACCTTCTATCCGTGGTCGACCCCATGATCCTCCTTCACCGTCTCTCCACTGTCATCCAATTGTGTGGATTTACTCTCACGTGGTTCCATAATTATTTATCACATTGTAACCTGAATAATGACTTACCTGTGCACTCCTGCACTCTGACATTTGTTATTCCTCAAGGGTGAATCATTGATGGTCTCCTATTTCTTTACCTGGATGATGTTACCCAAAGGCATGGGTAAGTTTGCACATGTATGCTAATGAAACCCAGCTCTATCTCACCATCACCTCTCTTACACTTCGACTGTTAGCAAATCATCAGACTGTTTATCACATGTTCAATTGTGTATGAGCAGAACTATCTTCCAATTGAATATTGAGAAGACTGAAATCTTTGTTTTGGATTCAGATTTCAAGCTCTTTTCCTTTGTTACCCAGTTCATCCCTCCTCCGGTATAATTCTGAAATGAATCCAACCTGTTTGTAATTAAAGTATTAAATTTGAACTTGCAAGTATCACTTCTTTCCACTTCCATAATGTCACCCAATTTTGCATGTGTTTCAGGTCATTGGCTACTGAAACCGTCGTTGAGTCTTATTTAAAATTCATGGATGCAAACATCAATGCCAGCATTTCTCTTTTGCCAATTATTTGATAAGAGAATGATGACCTTTGCCATGAGGTCTCGTAGTCTATCTGGAGTAGGAAAACTCATGGTATTGCTCAGAACAGATTCCAGGTTTTTGAGTGAGCAGCAATGAAGTCCAGCTTGTGTGTAGCATGGAGAGAAATCTGCAGATGATGGTGTTCTGTAGTGATCTGTTATTTCTTCATGCTGTTCAGTGTCAAAAATGGAATTACAATGCTCCGACAAGGCACCTTGTAACTTTTCTGCATTCAAGATACTGTAAAATGTATGTTTTTGCTGTATCCCAGCTCCAATATCAATGCTGGTTAAATCTGATGAGCATTCTGAGAGAGGTTAATATTTTTGCTGTTAGATACGGGGAAACTTAATGGCTCCACTTGGATCTTCAACACAGCAGTGTGGTGGAAATTAGATGTCAAAGCAGTAGAATAATTACGGTTGGGCACACGTAAGCTAGAACCTTCAGGTCTTGAACATGTACCTGAACCGAAGGGGCAGATACATAAGATCTTGATCTGAAGCTACAGCGAAAGGATGACACCTCCCACATCAGCGCACCCATGGTACTGTGCTGGAGTGTCAGTTTGTAACTAAGACTGAGCAATATTGTGACTTGAGTTCATATTTATGATAAGCTGACAGTGGTGAGTTCTTAATTTCAGCTGTATTGTTGCAAGGAACAGAAAGCTGGAATAAACACTAGCATAAAATGTGAGGCTTAAGATCGTGCAGTCGCGGACAGCAAAGCCTCAAAGCCTTTTTCTGTGGCCCAGTGCCACTTAATTCATAGATGTAATATTCTGTTTTCCCACCTCCCCATCATTATAGACTTGTCAATGAAAAATTACAGTTGCTACTTCTCTATCTAACTTTGATCTCTGCTCTCCTTAGAGCCTGTACATCTATTTTTTGTCTGAACACGCGCACAAGCATACACTTTGTTTTTGGATAAACAAGAAAATTATGTTAGTTATGTGAGTAGCAGGAAATTAGTATTTGTTGAAATAAGTTTTGAGAGAGGATAATTAAAATTTCTGTCTTTGTTAGATTGGGTATTTCATGTAATTTTTATTTTTTTTCAGTTTAACTCCAACCAGGAGAGACACGACAACCACAGTCCAAGTCAAAGGAGCTCTTCGCCTGAGTACAGGTAAAATTGGATTTCGTATATTATCCAGGATTACCTTCTTGCAGCAACAGTTCATTAAGCTGCAAATTTTCAAATTTCAATTCACAATCCATCTATAATTTTTCATTTTCCAACAGTTTAATGCTGGTGTTGGGTCCATGAAAATTTTGTTTTTGAGTATTAATTTATTTCTGCTATTGTGTGTTTCCCATTCATGTTGTATATAAAAAACCTTAAACTATTCAGCCTGATAGTTTGATGCCAGCATCACGATAATTTGATTTATTGATTAGGTTTAACAGCTACTCCCTTCCTTAAATTGATGCTATTACTTATGCTGAGTTTTCAGTGTACGATTGTATAATGGAACATGGTAAATGAGGCTTAACCCAATATTGAATGTTCACACAATTATATCACGTATCAATTCCTGGTGTTTCTCAGAATTTCCAGTTCTGAGCTATATTGGAAGTATGGAAGGTCATTGGAAGCATACTAATTTGACAGAAAAGTCAGGATTCATGACAGTTAATCAAAGCTAAGATTGAAGAAAAACATTTAGGATTTTAGTAGATTACGTCCACAAGCTGTTTCCATTTCACTCTTTCAGTGCGATTATTCTGACCTTGTGTTGTTACTCTTTGCATTAGTTATGGGATAGAAATGCACATGGCAAACACAAAAATCATACAGTTGAAGCATTGCCATACAAGCTGAAGAAAATGTTGTTCAAATTGAAACGTGTGTTAGTTTGACTGCACCCTGTGTATCGTCTTGTCCTCGTCAGAAGCATAGGAAACTTTTTAAAAACCTGTGGATGATCAAAAGAACATGCCAAGGAATTCATTTCTAGCCAGCAGACTGAGTCAGTGGAAGTATTGGATCAACTAGATTGTCAACTTTTTTTGTTGTTAAAAGCAACACAAGCCAAATCAGTTACTTAGTAACTGAAAAGAAAGATTCAGTATTCTCCTCCAAATTGAACCAAGAGGGCAAAAGTCTGAATATGAAGGCAATTATAGAAGTGATGCCAAAAAATTTTGCACATAAGTTATGATATTTACATTTTTATCTTTTATATTTCTAGACATAAAGGTACCAAAAAGTCACGGTCAAGATCACCAAGAGATTATCCTGACAGGACTGCCTGTGACAGAGGTCCATCTAGTAATGGCAGATATAATGAAAGAAACATGCAACCAAGGTATGCCATTCAGCTTTGAAATGTACTGTTGGCTAATAATATTAATACAGGGGAGGTGGTGGCATAAATCCCTGCCTCTCCCAGTGTAGATTAATTCTGTTCCTCAGAATTGTTTCCAATAGTTTCCCCAACACAGAGCTTAAACAGACTAGCCTGTAGTTTCATGGTTCTTCTCTTGCTCCCTCTGGGAATAATGGTACCACACCAACTATTCCCATGTCCTTTGACACCTCTCTTGTGGCCAGAGGAATTGAAAAGTATTGCCAGCTCCCCTGCTATTTCCTCCCTTGCCTCCGTCAATAGGCCTCGGATACATTTTATCTGGCCCTGGAGACTTATTACTCTCAAGCCTGTGAGACCGCTTAGAAACTCCTCTCTGTCTATGCTAATTTCGTGAAACTTATCACAGTTCTTCTCCCTGATTGTTATATCCATATCATTCCTGTAATTTGTGAAACTGACAAAGTCTTAATTTAGAACCCTCCCTCTGTCCTTTGGCTCAACATGCAAATTACCATTGAAGTCCTGAATGGGCCCTTCTTTTTCCTTTATGGACTTTTGAAGCAGTCTTGATAAACTTTGTGTAATTCTTACAAAGCTTCTAAGGACTTAAGCAAAACTAATTGTTTATTTCAGAGGTAGAGACAAAGAGAAAAAAGTGAGCCTAGATTCTGAATCCGATCACAGGAAGCGACCAAAATCACCAGCACCTATCACAAGAAATGAGGAAGAATCTGCCACTCAGAGCTCTTCTGAACCACCAACGAAAAAGAAAAAGGCAGAACTGGATCCGATATTAACAAGGACGGGTGGAGCGTACATTCCTCCTGCACGGTTGCGAATGATGCAAGATCAAATTGCTGACAAAAGCAGGTAAGCAGGAAAGTGAAAATATGTATATTCACTTGGCTGAAATTTAAAAACTGAATAATTTTGTTACTCTTGCAGACAATAGGCATGACTACATATGTGTTGTAGTTCTGTTTGACACTGTAAGCATCTGATGACAGACTTAGTACAGGACTCACTTGCATGATGCTGCTAGTATACATCATTAATCTTTTGCCCCACATTGCCTGACGTTTCTGTTTCTGCTGTCTAAGTGGATGAGCTGAAGTAGTAATTGGTGTGAACTAGAGATGGTTTTGTGCTGCTGCCACATACTGATTTGGAACAGGTTCAAGAAGTTTCTGCTTATTAGCTGTTCAGGATTGATTTTAAATTCTGATCCTAATAATACAGCAATCTTATTCCAGAATGCCAGTGTTTCAAGTCTTTGATAATCTGTAATTTATGTCTTTAACATATAGCAGTGCTTGGAAAGAAAGATATATCTGTTCTATGAATACAGATTATTTTGATTTGTTTTGTCACTTCTTTTGTGAAGAATAACATTTAACTTTTATGTCATTTTGAAGTTTAAAGAACAAACTTGACTCCTATCATTGGTGAGTCATTGCCAGGCAACCTGTAAGGGAAACAACTGAATAATGCTCATGCATCACTTTGGAAAATTGTCTTTATTTTTAATTCACTTGTGGGATGTGGATGTCGCTGGCTGGCCAGTATTTTATTGCCCACCCCTAGTTGCCCTTGAGAAGGTGATGAGCTGCTTCCCTGCCTACTTGGTTAGGGACAATACCTCTCACGGCCACATTGCAGTGTTCTGTATTTATCCTTGGAACTTGTTGAAAGCTGTTATTGACGGAGACTCGTTCTTAACTAAGCTGTCGAGCTCAAAATTATTGCTTGTGATCCACCCCATCTCTGCCAAATGGAGAGTTCTGTCCTATCCTGGTCTATCCTATTATGTCCACACTCATTTTCTCTACTTTGGAAAGCTTCGATGCTGAAAATACTGAAACACCTTATCTCTCTGTATGATGCATTTCTGAACAAAATGTGAGATCTTTTCCTCTTTCTTTACCATTTAATCTTTTCACCTGAAGTCATGTTTTTATATTGCTACTTTCTTAGTTTCTTTTCGCTCCATAATCTTTTAAATCTTTACCAGTGTCATGTTTTGAGGCCTTAGATCTGAAAATTGCTCGTACTGAATATACTCTATTCTTTTTATTTGCACTCCTATTCAAGCTATATTGTTTCGATCTCTCGATAGCCTGGTGGTATTATTACTGGACTATTAATCCAGAGACCCACGTAATGTCCTGGTTAAAATTCCACCGTAGCAGATCGTGGAATTTGAATTCAATCGAAAAAAGTCTAGGATTAAGAGTCTGCGGCTGACCATGATACTGTTGTCTATTATTGGAAAAACCCATCTGGTCCACTGATGTCCTTTAGGAAAAGAAATCTGCCATCCTTACCCAGTCTGGCCTACGTGTGACTGCAGACCCACAGCGAAGTGTTTGCTTTGCAACTGTCCTCTGGGCAATTAGGAATGGGCAATAAGTACTGGCCTGGCCAACAATGTTCACATCCCGTGAATGAACAAGAAAAATGCTTTGAGACGCTGCACTTCTTAATGTTGCCATGCTTATTGCTCTTTTTTGTTACAGTTTGGCATATCAGCGAATGAGCTGGGAAGCTCTAAAGAAGTCAATTAATGGTCTCATCAACAAAGTCAATGTCTCAAACATCGCTAATATTATACATGAACTTTTGCAAGAAAATATTGTTCGGGGAAGGTACGTATGTCTTGATGTTGTTGTCACCTATTTTGATCAGTCACTGATGCATTATGATGAGTGAGTATAGGTTTGAAGTTTTGGGTATTAGAAAAGTGTTACGTCATTTGGAAATGGTGCAAATTTGCCTAAAAATTCAAATGATAGTTGTTCATATTTGAAGCCAATCAAATGCTTTCATTGAAATTGTATAAATAAGCAGCAACAGAATTTCTGTCTTTGTTTTTGCACTGATTCTGATGGGATCAAAATTTCTGAAATATTAATGACATAAGCAGAGTACCACAGAAGCTGCAAGTACTTAGTACTCAGGCAGCATCTTTGGGGAAAGGAATATTTAGTATTTCCTATCGTCTGAAGATCTGACCCAAGCTGACTTTTCACCATTTTTTTGTATACATGAATAGTTACCAAATACATTAAATAAATGAATACATATTAATATACATGAATACAAAGAAATACATTAAATAGCTAAATATAGACTAACATGGAAGAAAGTTAAGGCAGGAATACTGATTTTGGTTGTACGACAGTTTGATGACAATTCTAAATCTACCATTTGGAAAAGAGGAGCTTCATGTTGTAGATATTTCCCTTTTATGTTCAAACGCTGTACCTTCAAGTCATTGTGTATTCACTCTGGATGTATATGCATGTGTTCTTTCCATACAGAGGATTGGTTTCTCGATTTATTATACAGGCACAGACAGCTTCTCCTATATTTACTCATGTTTATGCTGCTCTTGTGGCAATTATAAATTCAAAGTTCCCTCAAATTGGGGAGCTAATTCTCAAGAGATTGATCCTTAACTTTCGCAAAGGTTATCGCAGAAATGACAAGGTGAGCAAATGTTGCTACTGGTTTCGCGGTTTTAAAATAAAATTACTGTAATGAAAACTTAATAAACAAATTTGCTTGTTTTCAGTTAGTTTGCCAAAAATGACACTTGTTTCTTTTTCCCAGCAACTGTGCCTTTCAGCCTGCAAGTTTGTAGGTCATCTCGTTAATCAGAATGTGGTAAGTACAGTTTTGAATTTCTGCTTTTGCTAGTGCTTATTTAAAGATCGTTATCTGTTTAGTTCCATTTCTGTTCACACGGTTATCTACACACTGTTGCTTGATTATGTACACTTGCAAATATTCAGAAGAATTTTGGTGGCTTCGATAAGCACCCATCATTTTCCTCAATTCTTAAATCATCCAGAAGTAGTTATTTCTTTTATGTCAGAATGTGATAGAATTCTTATTTTTACATCTTCTGATAACTTAGTCCAAAAAACTGGTGAGATTTGGCACCTCTCTTCGAGATCAGCAAAAATAATACGGTTTTATTTAAATGGAATGATTTTGCTTTTAAAGTGTACACTTGCTGAAAATTTGCTGATTTTCTCAATTGGCAAATGCTGAGCCAGAAGTATGATCTTTCAGGTCACGATTAAATATTTGTTGTTCCGTTCAGATTCGAATTTCAAATATTAATTCCAATCCCAAACGGAACCTCCATTTGTTCATCTCTTTTTCTGTGGTTCTGTGTTCATCTTGTTAATAATACTACCTTAGATGTTTCTTAAAGCCTCAGCGATACCTTCCTTCTCTCAACGTTTTCTAATATTCATCTCATTGTCCTTTCATCCCTCACCCTACCTAAAGATCAGCAAAGTTGGAATGTTATTACCTGTGTTCCATTTTGTTAATCTTTTGTAGCTCACTTGGTCGTGATGCAATATGCATCCACATGCAACAAGATGTGTTCAACCTTGAGGCTTGGATAAATAAATAGGAAATAGATGCTGGATAATTGTCAGCTGTTGGCCAATTCACACATCCCCATCCCGTGCCTGACATTTATCCAAACCCAACCATCAATATCCAAGGTCTTTATCATTGACCAGAAACGTAACTCGACCAGCCACATAAATACTGCAGCTTCAAGAATAGGTGAGAGGCTGGTTAATGCGTGGTAAGTGACTTGACTTGCCCAGGGATAAGCCATGCATCAAATACTCTTCACTTTCCTAAAACGGTGCTGCACAAGAACAGTCAAAACGCTTGACACTATCCAGGAGAGTACAGTTGACTTCATTGATACCCGCCACATCTTAAATATAGAGATAGTAAGAACTGCAGGTGCTGGAGTCAGAGATAACACAGTGTGGAGCTGGAGGAACACAGCAGGTCAGGCAGCATCAGAGGAGCAGGAAAGTTGACGTTTTGGGTTGGGACCCTTCTTCAGAAAATTGACCCGAAACGTCAACTTTCCTGCTCCCCTGATGCTGCCTGGCCTGCTGTTTTCCTCCAGCTCCATATCTTAAACATACATTGCACGGTGTGCCAGTGGTGGAAGCAATGTGTACGATCTACTTGATGCTTTGCAGCAACTTGAAGCCTCTTTGCTAAGACCTTCCAAACCTATGACCTGTACAATCCACGAGGCCGAGTACAACAGCCATGTGGGAGCGCTACCACTTCCAAGTTCCCCTCCCAAGTCACACATCATTCTGACTTAGAAATAGTGTCATTCTTGAACTGTCAGAGTCACAGTTCTGAAACTTGGGTTTAAACTATTGTGATCAGTTGCAGTTTCAGGATGAGGACCACAATGATTCAACGGCTCAGCATCACATTCACAGATGCGATTAGGGGTGAATAATAAATATTGAAAATTTTCAATACTGCCCTTGTTCTTTGAAAGAAAAGTTCCAGCTCACATTTCACCTTGTAGTCTCAAATTGTCATTGAACCCTGGCCCAACAGCTTAATTTACACACATCCTGTGCCCCTGTTGTACTGATCAGAACTTGTCAATCTGTCTCTTGATCAAGCATATGACAGCTAATTGTTCCCTTGACACTGCTTCATGTTTAATTTCCCTATTGAGTAGTACCTTGGAGCTTTGATAATATTGCAGTGCAAGTGTAGGTTGTAAAGACTTGATCCCTGTTCATTATCTAACTTGTTGACATGTATTTGTTACAAATATGCAATAATTAGCAACTTGGTTTAAAGCTGTCGACTGAAAATGCCAAAAATGAATGTTTTAGACATTTGTTTCTCCTTTACCATCATGATCACTGCTTTTGTCTTTCGCTGAGTGTACTCTCAATCTGTTCCACTTGCCCCTCTCCATCTGTCCGCTTTTCAACGACTTTCAATTCCGAGGAAGAGCCATGCTGGACTCAGCGTTAACTTTGTTTTTCTGTCCACAGCTGCTGCAAGATCTGCTGAGTTTCTCCAATAGTTCCTGCTATTAGTTCACATGTCCAGTGTCTGCAGTCTTTGCTTTCACATCACATTTTGGCTGGAGACCTAATTTATACAGGCATTGCACGGGCAAACTTGCAGAAGTTAAGCACAGATGGATGTTTCCCATGTGCTGTGAAGTGACTGGCATGGGACATATGCATGTGTCACATGCATGCACATGAAAAGGTTCACAGAGCCAAGATCACTACCTCATAACAGGCTGGTATGGGCAAAGAGTAGTTATGCAGAGACTGCATCTTCCTTTCTACTTGTGTAACAACAAACATTAGGAAGAAAGCTGGCCATGTTAGGCACTTTTTAAAGGAATCTTGACGAGTTGCATCTTTTGTTCTGATTGTGCTTATGTAAAGTTGGAAGAAGCATGGTGAGTTTGTTGTGATTTGCTGCAGAAGTTGGGGGTTCATGGTGCATGCAGAAAAAGCAAAGGATTGCATTGCTTTACATAGGATTTATTTGCAGTGTTGCTTGCTCTGCAATATGAGAACAAGAAAACAAGGAGGTTGAGATGGTAGTGTCCAGAGAGGAGAAGGGGATGTCTCCATTGAAGGCCTTAGCCTGAGAAGCTCTCCGTGTGCACAGCTTTTATGACCAATAGTCTTCGAATTGTAGTTCATAAAGTTTTCTTTCACTAAGCAGGTAGTAATGTGCTTGTGTTACCACCTTTACAAAGATCAGTAACTTCAAATGAAGGTGAGAAAGACTGTACCAGTGACTCTGAAGATTTCTCCATGTTTTTTTGATCACAAGTGATTGCTTCTAGCTAAGGCCCTGCAATGTGCCACATTTCCCAGTAAACAGAAGTATTTGTGAGGTTGTAGAACAAGCATGGGAATACAACATGTTTGCCTTGGTTGAGAAAGACCAGAATGAAAGGATACTTCAGCTTGCCAGGATTGCAGCCATTGACTATACACACGTCTCTGTGTTCCCCATGTCAATGAGTAATCCAAAGACTATAAGTGGTGCGAAATTGGTATGCAACCACATCAAAAATTTATCTTGAATGTCCGCCATGCTGACTGCACCAGTGAAGCATTTTTCTTCCCAAAGTCTGCAATTTCCACTTTCTGTTGGCTTTGACAAGGCAAGAGAGCAATGTGGTTTGGCTTATGACTCCATCCGCCATCCCATGACGCAAGTTGACGGCAACTTCAAGAAACTTGGAGCCCAGTGCAACAAATAAAAACAATCCATTGATCTTGCAAAGCACAAAGTTTGGATATCTACAACCTACATCTGAGAGGGCCGCCTTGTTTGTCGCGTGTCACCTTTAAGTTGACTTCGTTACAACAGGGATTTCGGGAACATACTGCAGCTTCTCAAAAGTGAAAGCCAAACTTTTTTGTTTGAGGACCCAAGACAAGGAGAATATAGGAGTCTTTTATGTCTTTCTCATTTATCACTCATACTGGTGAATCCCCTTGTAGATGATGTGCCTAGCCTGTTGTTCCTACACAGTGCTTATCCACTGGTTGTGGCATGGCTAGTAGAAAATTGCTGACTTTTTTTGTGATCCGTTTGGGAGATATGAGCTTCAGTAGCAAGGTCAGCACTTATTGTACTTTTCCACTTCTTTGAAGAGAATTAGAAATGAGCCATCTTGCAATCCCTGTGGTGCAGGTACATCTATAGTGTGGTTAGGAAGGATATGGGCCCATTGCAATAAGAGTTCACGGTATGCTGAGACTGCTGAACAAGATGTGCTGATACTCGAATCGATATAAGCTGGCTGGCTGCCAGAAAACAAGATGCATGAATGGGTCTTGTTTAGATTGACAAGTGGGGTCCCACAGGGATCTGTGCTAGGCCCACAACCTTTTGCAATTAAGGACTGAGTTGCAGTGGTTGAAGGCATAGTGGCCAAACTTATGACAAAGATAGTCGGACAAAGATAGTAGCTTTTTCTGAAGAAGGGTCTAGGCCCGAAACGTCAGCCTTCCTGCTCCTCTGCTGCTTGGCCTGCTGTGTTCATCCAGCTCTACACCTTGTTATCTCTTATAAATGACCAAGATGGGTTAGAAGATGTTTGATGAAGATGACATAAGATACGGATAGTTGAAGTGAGTGGGCAAAAATATTATAGATCAACTATGCTGTCGGAAAATGAGTTTGTTCACTTTTGCAGGAAGAATGAAAAAGCGGAGAACTACTTAAATGGAGAAACACTGCACAATTTCAAGATGTAGAGCAATTTAGGTTTTCTTGTGCATGTGTCACAAAAGGTTAGTGTGTAGTTATAGCACATTATTAAGAGGGCTAATGAAATACAAGCCTTTATTATAAGAGGAATTAAACATAAAAGTGAGAATGTTATACAGGGCATTAGTGAGACCACATTTTGAATACCCTTGAGAAGTATTGACATTGCAGTCAAGCTTCGGATTACATTCGCTCAGTATTGCTTCAATCTGGCTTTCCTGGCTAAGGAGCAACAGCAATCACACTGATAGACAGACTGACACTGGAAGAATCATGAATGCTGTTGTCCTGAGAGAAATACGGCAGGCTTGTGCTCAAAGGTCCACAGCCACTCCCATGAGATGGTGTTTCAGTGATTCTGGAACACAGATTGTTGTGGGAGCCTGCATTGTCCATCATATGTGAAGATCCATACCTACAGTAATAGTTACCTGAGCCTGCATGCCACCTTCCAGAGAGCTCATGACCTCCCTTTCTATTGTTGTACTGAGATTCTGGGGAGATCTTCTTCTGTAATGCAATGAAAATTGAGACAGCAGACCACCCATTATTGTTCAGTCCAGCAGTGTTACCGTGGGCGTTCTCACCACTTCCATCATGTAAAAAAAGTGCTATGCGCTCTGTGTTACAATCTCTGCCATGGAGGTTATTTGGCAGGCCTGCTGATGTATCAAACAAGAGCAAGCATTGCCGTAGGAAATACTTCAACGAGGTCCTTGTCTGAGTCATCTGCAGCAGGAAAAGTATGAGCCTTCACTCATCCTTCAGTGATTATCACACAAGCTGACACATTCCCCTGTCTTAATGCAACCCACTCATTTCCAGTGACTCAGCAACTGCAGATTTCAGCTCAGATTGGCTTTGAATTTGGCACAATGCCAGAGCTAACAGTAAGGTCCTGACTTGGTATCATGTTGCGATGGCCTTGGCAACACTTCTGTTGTTCAAAGTTGGCACCCTTGTAAAAGGAAGGCTGTTTGGTGCATGTGGTTTCTGTGCAGTGCAGTTGGTTTCCCAAGAGCGTGCAAATTATGCTGCTTCAATTGGATAACTCTGATGGGCTGATTAATTTTGTCTTGTTCACTTTACCTTCAATGGGCATCAACATGACTCTTTATCGAGGGAACTCCGCAAGATTGAGGGTGGCACAGTGGATCTGTGGTAAACACTGCTGCAGCAGAGCCAGGGACCTGGGTTCAATTCCACCCTCTGGCAACTGATGTGTGGAGTTTGCAATTCTCAATGTGTCTGTGTGGATTTCCACCATGTGCACTGGTTTCCTCCCACAGTCCAAAGATGTGCAGGTTAGATGGACTGGCTACGCCAAATTGCCCATATCGTTCGTGGATGTCTCGGTTAGGTGAGTTAGCCATAGGGAATGTACGGTTACAGAGATAGCGTTGGGAGATGGGTCAGGGTGGCTTGCTCTTCGGAGGGTTGGTGTGGATTTGTTAGGCCAAATGGCCTGTTTCCACACTGCAGTGATTCTGTGAAATTATTGCAAGGGAGCCTACAATGTGCTCCCCTACGTCCTTTAACACATGCTGGAAACTATCAGGTCCTCTGGTTTTGACAATGGTTAAATTAATTTCCTCATTATTGATGTTTTTCTTGTGACAATTTTATTCAGTCCTTGTTGTCCATCCACAATTAATTGCCTCGGGACTTCTGGCAAACTATCCTCCTTTTGTACTGTAAATACTGAGGCAAATTAATTATTCAATCAGTCTTCCATTTTCCATTCCCTATTTTTCTCTCTCTTGAGAACGAAAAAAATCCTGGAGACAATTTTGCAGGACCTCCTTGTCCCCCTTTTTTTGTTTTGAAAAGTGGTGTAGGATATTTTTAAAACTAGCTTGTACTTTTGGAACAGGCAAACAGATTTCTTTCCAATATTTCATTTGAAGGGCAGCAGACTGAACTCTCATTACTGCAGATTCTACATTTGAGTCCATGCTGTTTTGACCTCAGGGGACCAGGGATGTAAGTTGACACTCCAGATAATGATACAACATAAAAGACATGGAATTTCAAAGGGGTGGGGGGCAAGTGAGGGTATTTATGTTCAAGAGTCCATGAGAGAAATTAATTGTCACTTCATAAAATAAAAGTTAAATTTAAAAATAACAAACCATAAAAATACTTCCTTTCTTCTGAATTAGGCCCATGAAGTGCTGTCGTTGGAAATGCTTACATTGCTGCTTGAGCGGCCCACTGATGATAGTGTTGAAGTGTCAATTGCTTTTCTGAAGGAGTGTGGAATGAAGTTAACAGAGGTTTCTCCTCGAGGCATTAATGGTAATTATGTGGTTGAACTGATGTAGCATTTTAGTATAACTAACTCAAATTCTACTTGTTGCTCAACTTGTGATTCTTTTTGCAGCTATATTTGAACGTCTTCGTAATATCCTTCATGAATCTCAGATAGATAAACGTGTCCAATATATGATTGAAGTCATGTTTGCAATTCGGAAGGATGGGTTTAAGGATCACCCCATTATCCCTGAAGGCCTTGATCTAGTTGAGGAAGAGGATCAATTTACCCATATGCTTCCTTTAGAAGATGAATACAATCCTGAAGATGCGCTAAGTATGTTTTTGTCCAAAAAGTATTCCAGAATTTGTCAATACTGGAAACAAATATATTGTATACGTGGAAGGTTTTTCTTGGTGCTTGATTTTCTCCTGTTTAGTTTTGTGCAATGGAAATAAGACATGTAGAAAAAGTTGTTGGAGCAGTCTGGTGGCTACGTTAGAGTGTGATATTAATGGCTTCGTGTGAATTTACTCAAAAACTACCAGAAGTACTCATGTGCCACATCTTCTGATGGAAGTCATGATGAATGTTCAGATGTTGGCTACCATTGTATGTCAGAACTCAGAGGAAGCCTTAGCCATGTCTGTGCCCATATTTAACTAGCAATTTTGAATTTCTGATTGACACAGTTAAATTGCCTGAACCTCCCTGGATCCCTTGGATGTTGATGATGTGATTGTAGACTTGGGCTAGATACCCTGAACTCTGCCATAAATTTGTTGTAGAAAACTCGAGCTGTTAGTCACCTGCACTTCGCCAACAGCACCCCACTAAATCCAGCTGTGCCCATTTTACAATCCATTTAGGAGGCAAAACGAAAAAACAGTGCACTTGATGACTGAATGCACTATACTATTCGTTAAATTTAAAGCACTTTTTTGCTTCTTGTCAGGGTTTTTTCATGTTTGCACATGTTAATGATTATAGAAGCAGTTAAAATGTTTAATCAGATTATTCAGATAGTTGAGGGAAAAAAATTTTGAACCGCATCATAATAGAGCAAACCTCCTGAATCTTAAGGGTACATTTCTTGAGCTGCTGACGTCAAAGGGACCATGGCCATGGCACTTGTGTGCTTCACCATAAGCCCTCATACCTGTCTTTGATAACGGATGTATTCTTTACCTAGAACAGCCAACCCTTAATGTTTTGAGTTTGGGGTGACATGGTGTCTCAGTGGTTAGCACTGCTGCCTCACAGCGCCAGGGACCCGGGTTTGATTCCAGTGTGAGGTGACTGTCTGTGGAGTTTGCACGTGCTCCCGTGTCTGTATGGATTTTCTCTGGGTGCTCCAGTTTGCTCCCACAGTCCCAAAGATGTGCAGGTTAGAGGGAGTGGCCATGGTAGATTGCCAATAGTGTCCAAGGATGTGCAGGTGAGGTGGGTTAGTCATGGGAAATGCAAGTTTCCAGGGGTGGGTCTGAGTGGATGCTCTTTTGGGTGTTGGTGTGGATTCAATGAGCTGAATGGCCTGCCTCCACACTATGGATTCTGAGTTCAAAAAAATCAGGCCGCAGTTTCAATTGTGGTTGGCAGCAAATGTCACAGTCTAAAGTGACCAAAGGAATTGGGCAGTTAGTTAACAAACTTGTCATTTTCATTGTTAGATAATTAAGTCTTTAATTAATTAAGCGTTGTAATAACTACTTCACTTATGCGTACTTCAAAAACTGAATTTCACTTTGAAAACTGTTTCAAATGTAGATGTCTTCAAGATGGATTCGGACTTCCTTGATAATGAACAGAAGTATAAAGAACTAAAAAAAGGTGAGTTTTGTAATTCACGATTTAATGAAAGACTAAAAACTAACTTAAAAAATAAAAGCTACTGTTTATTGACTTTGAATAGGGCTATATGTAAAGAACAAAGATGTCAATTTTTATCCAGCCATTTCTGCAATAGTTGCTAGATACGAGATCATTTGAGATTTGGTTTCAAGATTTCAGATTTACTCTATTTTTGACATGCCATATACTTATTTGCTACTTGAATATTGATCATCAGTTCTTTGAATATTATTTCTGTAAATATTAAACATAGGCAGTGCAGGATAATGATACATTACTTTTCGAAAGTAGAAAAAATATGATATGCATTGCAGGTTAGCATTAAAAACTGTATGGTTGTTATAAATGTCTTCCACATAGAAATCCTAGATGAAGGTAGCAGTGATTCTGCATCTGGAGATGAAGAAGCTGGTGATGATGATGCTGACGATAGTGACAATGACAATGACAATGATGAGGATGGAGATGAGGAAGAAGGTAAGAGGTTTATCCTTCTTAATTTTAAAATTGCCGGATTTGAGTTCTAGTATCTGAAAACTATCTAAGTCTCAAAGATTTGTTGTACTTGGCAACAGCCTTATTTACATGCATTGAGTTTTGGCATTTAATATTGCAGGAATCTCTGCTATGAGATATCAAATATTTATGTGTTCAGATCTTAGAGAACCCTCCAAGTATTTTTGTTTATCTGAAGATGATGTTCTTGTCATTCAAATCTGTTCCTAAAACATTGGTTCTGGTAAGGCTGTATTTATTTCCCATCTGTAGTTGCTTTGCAGGTGGTATCGGGTCTTGCCCCTGAACTGCTGCAGCATTGGGAGTGATGTTCCCAAATTGGTGTTAGATTGGCCATGCAAGATTTGAACCCAACAAAAAAAAGAGAAAGAGGAACAGAGAAAGGCTTTGATTTGTATCATGCCTTTAGGATGTCCCAAAGTGTTTCATAACAAATCACGTACTTCAGAGTGTGGCCACTGTTGCAAATGGGGAAACAGTATCTTATGATCAGAGCACTATTACTTAGAGCATGTGTTTCCATGAGCATTGTTGCACTTGTCTCTGACATAAAGGCATTAGGAATTAAGGGTTTGCTGACATATATCCCTAGCGTCCACTTTCTGGCATGGTTACCTTCATTGGCCAGGCATTGAGTATAAAAGTTGGCAAGTCATGTTGCTGCTTTGTAAGACTTAAGCCACATTTGGAGTACTGTGTGCAGTCTGGTCGCCACACTATAGGTAGGATATGGAGGCTTTGGAGAGGATGCAGAAAAGGTTTACCAGAATGTTGCCTGAATGGGAGTATCTTAGCGAGAAAGAGAGGTTGGACAAAGTTGATTCTTTCTGCTGGAGCTTCAGAGGTTGATGTGCGACCTGATAGAAGTAGCATGGATAGGGTGGATCATTGGAGTCTTTTACCCAGGGTTGGTAATGTCAGATGCTAGGGGGCATGAGTCTAAGGTGAGAGGGGGAAGGTTTTAAAGGAGATATGTGAGACTTGTTTTTTCCTAACGTGGCCGGGGGGCAGGTGGTTGCTGGTAGAGGAGGTAGTACTGTTTACAAAGCATTTAGGTAGACATGTGAACAGGCAGGGAATAGAGGGATATTAACCATGTGCAGGCAGGAAGTTTAGTGATCATGGACATGGTGCACCGAAGGGCCTTTTCCTGTGCTGCATTTTTCTTTGTTTCAGTGCTATGCTGCCCTGTCGTGACAACATGTGAAGGTATGGGGTCAGTCAATAACACATGCTGACAATTCTCAACTTGATTTCTCTTGACCCCTTTGTGCATCTTAGAGTCATACGGTATGGAAACAGACCTATTGGCCCAACTTGTCCATGCCAATCATGTTTGTAAACTAAACTCGTCCCATTTGCCTGCATTTGGCCCATATCCTTCCAAACTTTTCCTAATCATGTACTTTACCAAATGTTTTCTAAATGTTGTAACTGTACCTGTATCCAGCACTGCCTCTGGCAGTTCATTGCGCACACAAACCACTCTGGGGGGGGAAACATAAATGTTGCCCCATATGTCCTTTCTTCTTTCACCTTAAAAATATGTCCCCTAAATTTGAACTTCCCCACCCTTGAGAAATGACCCTTGCTGTTCACCCTCACCATGTCCCTCATGATTTTATAAACCTCAATAAGGCCACCCCTCAACCTCCCACTCTCCAGTGGAAAAAAGTCCCAGCTTTATAACTCAAACACTCCATTCCCGGCAATAGCCTGGTGAACCTTCTCTAAACTTTCTCCAGTTTAATAATATCCTCTCTATAATAATGTGACCAGAACTGCATACAGCAATCCTGTAGAGTCCCCACCAATGTCCTGTACAACCTCAACGTGGCGTCCCAACTCCTGTACTTAACTCGGAGACAGAAAGGACTGCAGATGCCAGATGTGAGAGTCAAAAAATGTGGAGCTGGAGAAGCAAGCAGGTCAGACAGCATCCGAGGAGCAGCAAAGTCAACATTTCAAGTTGGAACCCTTCTTGAGGACTTGACCTGAAGAAGGGTTCCAACCAGAAACGTTGACTTCCCTGTTCCTTGGATGCTGTCTGACCTGCTGTGCTTGTCCAGCTCCACATTCTTTGACTCCCACACTCAGGTACTGTCTAGGCTAGTATTTATTGCCCATTCCTAATTGCCCAGAGGACAGTTAAGAGCCAGCGATGCTGCTGTGAGTCTGAAGTCATTTGTGAGGCAGACTGGGTGAGGATGGCAGGTTTTCCTTGACAATCGACATGTTTCATGGTCACTGTTAGACCCTTAATCCCAGGTTCTTTATTGAATTCAAATTTCCCCATCTGTGGCAGGATTTGAACCTGAGTGCCCGAACATGAGCTGAGTTTATGAATTATATTCTGTATTATACACTATTATAGTGATAATGCCACCAGACTATCATCACCTCACAATATATCAATGCCTTGGAGGAAGGAAGTGAATGTACTGTCACCAAATTTGCAGACAACACAAACATAGATGGAAAGGCAGGTTGTGAGAGGGATTCAAACAGTTTGAAGGCAATGATAGGTTAAGTAAGTGGACAAAAAGTTGGCCTATGGAGTATAATGTGGGAAAATGTGAAATTGCTCATTTTGGAATGGAGAGCAAAAGAACAGAATATTATTTAAATGGAGAAAAACTGCAGAAAGCTGCATCTTTAAGGGATTTCGGGGGACTTGTGTACAAAACACAAAGTTGGCACTCAGGTGCAGGATGTAGTCAGGAAGGGTCATGGACTATTCGTCCTTATTTCAAGGGGGTTGGATTATAAGAGTAGGGCAATCTTAGTGCAACTGTACAAGATGCCGGTCAGACCATATCCAGAGCACTGTGAGCAGGCCCGCTCTCCCTATTGAAGGAAGGACATAGTTTCACTGGAGGTAGTTCAGAGAAGGTTCACAAGGATAATGCCTGGCATGGAGGGATTGTCTCATGAGTAAAGGCCAAACAGATTGGGACTCCACCCACTGGAGCCTAGAAGAATGAGAGGTGATCTCATTGAAACATAGGATTCTTCAGGGGCTTGACAGGCTAAATTTTTTTTATTCAATCATGGAATGAGGGTATTGTGGCTCGGCAGCATTTATTGCCCATTCCTAATTGCCCCAAAGGGCAGTTAAGAGTCAGCCACATTGCTGTGGGTCTGGAGTCACATTTGGACCAGACCAAGTTAGGGTAGTAGTTTCCTTCCCTCAAGGACGTTAGCGAACCAGATGGATTTTTCTAACAATCGACAATGGATTCACAGTCATCATTAGATTCTTAAATCCAGATATTTATTGAATTCAAATTCCACTAACTGCTGTGGCGGGATTCAAACTTGAGTCCCAGAACATTATCTGGGTCCTCAGATTAACAGTCCAGGGATAATACCGCGAGGCCACTGCCTCCCCTATGTTGATGTTGAGAGATGACCTATAAATTCTTCCAGTTAATAATAGGAAATTCTAATGCTGGCATTCTACTAACTGGCTTGTTTGCTTTTTGATGTACACGTTTAATTACTGCAGTCGTTTTTTGAAATTATAATAATTTCACTATTTCAAAGCACAAGATTTAAATACAACTCATTGCCAAATGCGTTTAGAAGTAAAGTTTAATCAAAATGTGACATTGGCTCTGTTTATTATTTGGCATATGACATAGGAGCAGAAGTAGGCTATTCGGCCCCTCAAGTCTATTCCTGTTTTCAGTGAGATCATGGCTGATCTGATAATTGTCGAGTCGCATGTTCTTGCCAAATCCCCACAACTCTAATTTCCATAATAATTAGAAATCTGTCTAATCTTTGAAGATACTTAAAGACCCAGCTTTGACAACCATTAGCTGTAAAGAATTCCACAGATAGACTACCCTCCGAGAGAGAAAGATCCTTCTGTTTGCTGTACCAAATGGGCAACTCTTACTCTGTGATAGCGCCCTTTGGTCTTAGCCTCTCCCACACGGGGGAACAACCTCTCTGTACCTATATATGGAATGAACTGCCAGAGAAAGTGGTGGCATCTGGTATAACTACAACATTTTAAAAGGTACGTGAATGGGTATATGAATAGGAAGGGCTTAGAGGCACATGGGCCAAATGCTGGCAAATGGGGCGAGATTTATTTAGGATACCTGGTTGTCATGGATGAATTGGACTGAAAGGTCTGTTTCCATGCTGTCCAGCTCTATGACTCTAAGTACCTCAGAATCTTTTATGTTTCAGTAAGGTCTCTTCGAAAGCCTAGTGAGTACTGGCTCAACCTTCTTGATCTTTCCTCAAAATTCCTCAACTCTCTGAATCTTCTCTGCTTGTGATACCAGTATATATCTCCTTAGATAAGGGGAACTGAAGTGTTGATAGGATTCCAGCTGTGTGCCTTGTATAGTTTTTGCAAGATTGCCCTGTTTCTTTTGAAATAAAGGGAAATATTGCGTTTGCCTTCGATATTATGCACTAATCATGGGCAATTGCTTTGTGTGATTCATGTGCTGGGCCCCTCAAATTCTTTGGTGCTGCAGCTTTCTGTAGTCTTTTCATATCTAAATAATAGTCATTTCTATTCTTCGTGCCAAAATGGATAACCGCACATTTTCCAACATTATTTTTCATATGCCAGGTTTTTGGTCACTCACTTAATCTGTCTATGACCCACTGTAGACTCTGTGTCATCTTCACTGCTTGCCTTCCCAACTATTTTTGTAATCCGCACATTTACCAATAGTATCTTCACTTTTATCATCCAAATTGTTAATCTATTTTGTAAATAATTATGGCCCTAGCACTGATCCCTGTGACAGCCCACTAGTCATCAGCTGCCATCCTGAAAATGCACTCTATATCATAACTCTGTCTTATATTACTATGTTACTAGTATAACTAATGTACTATCCCCAACACCATGGGCTGTTATCTGAAGTAGCCTTCTGTGCAGTACTTTACCAAATGCCTTTGGAATCATGTACTGGTTCCCCTTTAGCCATCCTCCATGTTACCTCAGAGTATTCTAATAAATTTGTCAGGCATGATATCCTCTTCATGAAGCCATGCTGATTCTGCTTCATGATATTATGACTTTCTAAATGCACCATTATTGCATCCTGTGTGATGTATTCTAATATTTTCCACAACGGCACATGTTCAACTAACTGATGTTGCGTTAGCTGTTTTTGCCTCCCTCCCCATTTGAGTAAGGGTATAACTTTAGTGGTTTTTCAATCCTGTTGGATTTATCCTGAATCTAGGGATTTTTGGAAGCATAGTTAACATTTAACAGTTTTTTAAAAAACTGTTTTTCACATTAATTTTGTATTGTCTACTGCCCTTAACTTCTGATCTTATTTTCTTGTGCTTATTTGTTTTCAAGTCTTATTTTTATTTTCCTGATCTAAGAATGTTGTTGTTATACGTTGAGATTTTACATCTACTGACTAACATAAGATTTGAATTAATTTAAATTAAGATGTTGCAATTAAGTTTTGTTTACAAGAGTTTGCATTTATGGAGTGCGCAGGCTTTTGAAAATCTGGATTAGTTTCACTAAAGCAGTGAGCAAAATTGTCTTGTGTAACACATGAGCTCAGAAGTAAGGGGATTCATTAAAGCATTCAAGCAATCTTTGAGAACTGCCTGGAGTTTGTACAGTGGAGGACAGGAGTCAGATTGCTTGGATACTTTTCTGGCCAATTGCCAAGCACCAATACCTAGAGAAGTATTGGAGCTGAAGTCTTTGGATACCTTTCCAATCTAGATGAATTTAGAGTGAAAATTTGAGACAGAGAAAAATCTCACAAGGTGACAGTCTCCTAATTTCACAAATTTGCTATTCCGTGGAGAGAACATCACATAATACAAAGGATGGTGTGACATGTTCGTTTTTCAGTTGCAGCATCCATTCTGGAGTCAAAATTGTTTGAGTCCATATATTGCATCTAACACTTCAGTTTTTTTTGCAGTCTTGGCCAACAACGACATTGCTTAAAAAGAAATTTGAACCTTCAGTTTAAAGCTGAAACAATAACATTGCAAAATTTCACATTTTTCAGTTTTTACTTCAATAAATGACTGCAAAAGTTCTTTGATCTAAACACTGTTTTCTTTTTAATAGTTAAGTTAGACTATGGGGATAAAAGTTACACTTCTGTATTTAACACATACAGCCACCTCCACGGAATTAATCCTCAGAGCAAACAGTCCACAGTATCTTCTTTTTGCCAAGTTGAAACTTTGTCTATCACAAGATGTTTTCCTCTGCTTTTGGAGAGTTCCTTAAATCCACTAACAGCAGTGAAGTCTGTTCCAAAAATTCTTCATCTTCTGTCTGTGCCAGGGCAAATTTGCTGAAATCTTTTTAGATAGCTGCTGAATGCATCTCTTTTCGGGGACAACAACTCCCTGTTGCAACTGGCTGCAGTTGCTTGCAAAGTCCAACAAGCTTTTCTCTCTGCTGCTCAAACAACCATTTCTGTTTATTCACAGATTTGTAGGGAAGCCTGTAATTTCATCTCCGAGATAACCCCTTTCGCCCTCATCCCCGTAACAGTAAGCCTTGCATTCAGCAACAAATGATAATGGTGTATCTTTGATCCCAACTCCCTTTCATTTTAGAGATAAATAGATAATTTCCAGCACAAATGTTTGAACTGATCGAGTAACACTTTTTCGGGATTTTGGAAGACTGTGTATCCAGGGTAAACTTGATCACAGTTATGCTTTTCTCCAAACATAAATACCTTTCGCCTGCTCGGCAAAAGAGTCTCTTCAGCCTTCTTTAGATCTAAAATAAACATATGATCTAGATTTATTGTTAGGCAGACAGCAGAATAGATCATATATTCTTAATTTATCATAATTCATAAACATAGTCCGAAAGCATAATCATTTAAAACCTTGTTATCACAACATTTCCATGAATAGCTTGCTTGTCAAGGATAAGATTGAACAGGGATTATTTTGCTGCAAGGTATTCATATCAAGCTCTTGGCGCATTGATTGTGCAGTACATGTGGAGTGTTTTCACACTGTCACTTTACATCAGAGTCAGATAGTACTGTGAGACAAAAGCTGTCTTGGTTGCTGTGCTCGGTCTTATCCATTAAGTGGCTGAATAATTCATCAAGAGATTAGCTTGTGGACTAATTTGGATCTTAAATTTGAAAATGACTACAAATTATTTCATTTTGTTTTAGGGGAAAAGAAACTAACTATACATGACAAGACTGAAGTAAATCTTGTTTCATTTCGTCGTACAATTTATCTTGCTATTCAGTCAAGGTAAGCAGATTTTTCAATCCTTCTGAAAGGCGAACTTGAAAATACTGCTCAGAGATAGTAAGAACTGCTGATGCTGGAGGAAGAGATAGCACAGTGTGGAGCTGGAGGAACACAGCAGGCCAGGCAGCATCAGAGGAGTAGGAAAGTTAACATTTTGGGTCATGACCCTCCTTCAGAATTTTTTCCTGAAGAAGGGTCTCGACCCAAAACGTCAATTTTCCTACTCCTCTGATGCTGCCTGGCCTGCTGTGTTCCTCCAGCTCCACACTGTGTTATCTTTAAAATACTGCTGTTTTTGTGCAATCGGCATATTAAATAGATCTGTTTGAAACAAATGTTGATGGTCTCAACTCTGTCTTTCCTTGCAAACCCATGCGTAACGCTTTAAGATTTTAGAATGTGTGCAAGGAAATATGAAATGAGTAATTTAACACATTTGAGTTAGACGCTGCTGATGACTTCCAACTGCCATGCCTGGAGAAAATGCAGAATTCCTAATGTTCATACAATCTGGTTTTGATTTAACAAAAATATTACCTTGGCAAGAAATGTATGCCATGGTTTGTGTGATGAGTTTATCATCTTCCTGTTGAACTCTTTTTTTGTCACATCTTTGACTGTGATACTTCTCACAGTATTTGGTGTTGCTGTAGTTAATGGTTTTGCTTCAAACATTCCAAATGACACTAAACATAATAACTAAATAGACATAAAAATAATCTGACATGACAGTGGCTGAAGTGAAAACCTTAATGGGACAAAAAGTGATAGGTGACAAATTCTGCATTAATTTTCTATGTGCTGTACTATTTCTGCATCATTTGTTTAGCTGTTAAAGAAATAATTTAACATTGGAATTCATAGGCTGGAGGTCTAAAAGTAGAAACACCAATACCTGTTTTTAACATCTGGTAGATGGAGAAATAGTCTAATACCCTGATGAAGAAAAATTCACATCATGCATTTCATGACCACTGGATGTCCCACTTGCTTCACAAGCCAAAAATTATTTTGTGGTCCCACTACAAAATGTGGTCAAGGCATATATGTTGGCCAGAGTGCAAGAGAGCTCCCAGTTCTAATGTGCATATTGTGGACTCATTGATGTTACTTGATAGGGCAGTAGGAAATTAAGTTTAATCCATCATGAGAATCAGTGTAGCTATTTTGCTTTGAATTCAAGTCTGTGCTGATGGTTCTGACCCAATTGCCTTTTAATTGAGATGTGTGTGTGTAATGCTTTTGCCAAGACTATAACTGATTAAATTGGTTTTCCTTCAGGAGAAGACCTTAAAATATAAGTCTTATTGGAACAGCAGTAGGCCATTTAGCCCTGTGAATTTGTTCTGCAATTCATTGATATCCTGGCTGATCTGTGTTTCTTCGATGTGTGGTCTGTGTTTCTTGGCCCATATCCTTTTAGAGATTTTGATCAAAGGTTTAAAATCAGTTCCACAGTTCTTTCAACCCTTTGCATAAAGAAGCGTTTGCGAACATCCAACTTGGCTTATGAAGATTCTATTCCTCATCGCCTTGACTTGTTCACCAATTGAGAAAATTCTTCCTCCTTTCAAATCCTTAACAACTCCTGAACAAAAATATAAATTGAGTCACCCTTTAACCTTGTATATTCTAGAAAAAAAATGTGGAGCTGCAATGTCCTTATTTTTAAAATTAATCAATCTGCCTTTTTGATTCTTTTTTGCCCGTCACCAAAATGTTTCTGATCTCTGTACATGGAGCCCTAACTCTCTTTAAATCCTCACCTGATCTTAGCTTTTCACAACTTAAATAATACTGGGATCTATCCCATTTTTCCTTCGATATGGATAGCCTTATTATTTGTAATAACTTTGCAATAGTTTTGCCCAATTACTTAATCCAACAATGTCTTCTAAGTTGATGCTGCTATCTTGCCTCCTTAGTAGTTCAACAATCTTCGTATCGTTGGAAAACTTGGATATGACTCTTTTGTAAAGTCAGCGCAGTTAGAAATATAACGGACATTTAATGCCCCAACAGAGATCCTTAAAGAATCCTTGTTTTCTTCCAATTCGTGTACTTCTCATTGCTCCACTATCATTAATGATCTTGCAAGTTTCTTGAAAAGGACAAAAATTTCATTTCTATATGTCAGTTTTATTTAACAGTATCTTGTTTGGGCCTAAATGTATTCTGGAATTTCGTAGGAATTGCTCTCTTAAGTATTGCTTTATCTGCTACTCAACAGTAGACTTCCTGTTTGTTCAGATTGAATTTTAAACATGTTATAATGAGAGGATTAATTGCTCGAATCAACAAGTTGCACTGGAAGGTTGTGTTTGGGTGCAGGCTCCTAAGTTCCTGTGCCAGAATTGGTTCCCAGAAAGATTTGAAGGTCAAAAAGTCTCTTGGGATTAAGTGCATTGTATAGCTTCATGACTTTGTTCTGAGTTTACAGTGTTTAGTGAATGAGTAGTGGTATAAGCCAATAAATATGTTCAAATTGTCTTTCAGAAAATCTCTTCTATTCACTTGCCTTCGTTGTTTTAATGACTATTTTGGGCATAATGTCTGATAACTAGCTTCTTCCATTTTTGTTAGGGGAAAAAATGTCCCTCCTGTTTTCCTTGGGCTAGCAGTACATTAAAGATTTTGATCTTGAGAAGGTTGTTTTCATGCCTGCCTCATTTCTTAATGTTAACTAATTAACAAGCAGATAGAATATATTGATTCTTTCATTGAGAATGGCCAATGGTTTAGCTTGGTTTTAATGTCTACAAAAATAGGCTACTTAGTGCTGCATTTTTGCAAGTAGTTTTGTGGGGTTGGCATTACAGCTTGTTTTCCCACTGAACCTGATTAGTATCTGTGATCAATGGTTCACACTGCAATCTTTGCAAATGCATTCTTGTATAAAATTATTGGTGGCTTATGGAATTGAAGTTGCTGCATACGTTGTGTTGCGAAGTTCGGTAGAGTACTTGTGGACTGGAAGACAGGACGTTAGAATTTCATGTTTTTAAAATATTGATGTTGTAAAATGATAGGGTGAAGGCAGTGTGTGGTCCATTTAAAAGATATACTTTTTCTAGGCTTGGAGAGAAAAAATGTCTGTGGGCAGCATCTGGGTTTGCAGGTGCACTGAGCATCTTAATTGTAACATTTATATGAAAAGGCTATCCTGTTAGCAGGCAAAGCAGCATTTTTACCAAGACAACAAATTTGAATTTGGCCAATTAATTTAAACCAGGCACTTCGATACTAGAAACCAATCAAATTTAAATCTGATGATTTTGACAACATGTTCTAAGAAATTGATATGTCATCAAGGGTATAAAAGATGACGGCATTTGGAAAATCGGGAGAGAACTAACTGCCATGTGATAAGAGGTCAACTCTCTCAGCTCTTCGAGAAAGCATCATCTAATTACCAAAGGTACCGTGGCACTGTTAGCTAATACTCCAGACAGAAGAATTCACAGAACAGTCTTGACAGAAGATCAACAGGGAAGGCACAGAACATTCGGGAAGACGTAATTTGGCTATAATTTCGAGGGATGCAGTTCTAATTTTTTTGTGTTTTGGTTCGTATAAGTGGGACTTGTATTTATTGGAACCTTGTAATTGTTATTATTGAAATAGCAAGAACTGCAGACGCTGGAGTCAGAGAAAACAAAGTGTGGAGCTGGAGGAACACAGCAGGCTAGGCAGCATCAGAGGAGTCAACTTTGCTGTTCCTCTTATGATGCCTGGCCTGCTGTGTCCCTCCAGCTCCACACTGTTATTTTTGGAGAGAAAACAGAATTAGTGTTGAGCCCAGTGACCATTGTCTGTTTGCTTTTGTAGAACGATAGCTAGCCAGAGGTCATAGATATAGTTGTTAAAAATAAACCAAGAGGAAATATGTTTAGAAAGGTAAGTTAAGATGTGAATCATGTTACCTGAAAGAATGGTGGAATCCAATATTATCGGAACTTTCAAAACACAATTGAACATGTCCTTGAAACTAATTTTGGTTGTTATGCAGAAAAGTTAGAACTTGACACCAAATGGGCAGCTCTATGAACTGATACAGACCAAACAGCTGCCTGCCCTGCTCTAAAATTCTATGCTTTGAATTAAAGATTAATACAGTTAATTAATTATTAGCAAGGATTTATGTTAATTGAAAAGAGGGTATACTTCACTTTGTGAAAGATCGTAACTTATGTTGCTCAACTTTACAGCATTGAAAGAATTTGTAACCTTAATCACAGGTGGTTCTTATCTGGGAGTCTTCTAAAAAGAAGCCTTGTGTAGTTTTATATCTTTTAGTGCCTCATTTGTTAAATTATTCTATTCATTTATCATGATATAATGCTGTCAGTATGCTGCGCATACTATTTGACAGTTCTGTTACTTTTGAGTGTTGCAGTCTGGTAAGTTATCCTTTTCCAGCCAACTTGGTACAGCAAAAACCAACCCCTTGGCATAACCTTGTTTCCTCACACAGAACGACAATTAGCTAGGGAAAATATTAATGTGCAAAATGTCTGCCATCAGTAGTGACCACTAAAAAAAGGTGGAGATAATCCAACAGATCTTTTGAGATTAGATTTAAAATTTTAAGTTCTAAATATTAATTTGAGTACTGACTATAATTTCAGTAATTTGGCAAGAATTCAAATTGCACGTGGCTCATCCACAAGCTTGTGTCAAGTCGAGCTTCGAGATGAAACCAAATGAAAATTGGAGAACAAGAAATAGTGGCGAAAAGTCTTTATTTTACAGTTTGCTTGCTCTTTACCTGGTCTTGTGAAAGGCATTGAAAAAAAATTGCAAGTTAGCTCCAGAAAAGCTGTAATTATTGTGCTGTCTCTGAACAAGTCTGCTAGCTATTTCATCACAGCAGCCAAACGTGTTTTCATTGTTCTTAGGCTGCATTGCGAAATCCTGGAGCATTTCTATAGCCTTGGTAGCTTCAGGTAGGAAAGCAGGCAGGTAAATCGGTAGGCATTCATCAGATTCTTTCCGGTACT